TACTCACCAGCACCAACTCTTCCACCAGGCATTCATCTGTTCCACCCACCTATCCCCATACTCACCAGCACCAACTCTTCCACCAGGCATTCATCTGTTCCACCCATCTGTTCCCATACTCACCAGCACCAACTCTTCCACCAGGCATTCATCCATTCCACCCACCTATTCTCGTACTCACCAGCACCAACTCTTCCACCAGGCATTCATCCATTCCACCCACCTATTCCCATACTCACCAGCACCAACTCTTCCACCAGGCATTCATCCATTCCACCCACCTATTCCCGTACTCACCAGCACCAACTCTTCCACCAGGCATTCATCCGTTCCACCCACCTGTTCCCGTACTCACCAGCACACAGCATTGGGAGCAATCCAGAGATTGTACCCTTTGAGGTACTGCTTTTCAGTCTGCTACTTAATTCCTTAAATTCCGATTGCAGGACCTCGTCCCTCTTTCTAACCTCACGATTGGTCCCAATCACAGTTACCCTCCTCCTTCAGAATGACCTGCAGCCATTTAGTGGCCCTGTGCCCACGGAGGCAGCACACCCATCCTGGAGTCACATCTGCAGCCACAGAGATGCCTGTCTGTGCCTCTCGTTGAGTCTGTGAACACCATTGTCTTCCCTCACTTTCTGCTTCCCCCTTGTGTAGCTGGGTTCTGGCTGCGCTCCCAGAGGGTCTGTCACTCTCGCTGTTCACCAATGCAGTAAAACTGTTTGTGCGTGTGAGAGATGCACTCTGGGGCTTTCCTGCCTGCCTGCCTCCTTTCTTCTGACCTGATGGTCACCCCTTCCTCCTCTGATGCCACTTCCTTAAGCTGCAAGGTGACCGCATCTAAAAACATGCTCTCTACGTTAACTGTCAGCTGTGACTCCATCTCTGACACTCAAACTTTGAAACCCACAGCACAAGCTGATAAAATTGGTGCCACATGTTGTCAGCCAGATTGTCAGGCATGTCTAAGACTTCCCTATTTAATGCACACCATGCAACACATGGGACTGAGCAATGTCACCATGTCTTTAGATAATGTATTCTTACCCTACATTTAAACCAAGCAGAAAATTATTTAAGATATTTTAAAAAGAAGCTACCTTTCCTTAAGAGATAGTAGGAACTGCCGATGCTGGAGAATCTGAGATAACAAGGTGTAGAGCTGGATGAACACAGCAGGCCAAGCAGCATCAGAAGAGCAGGAAAGCTGATGTTTCGGGGTCTAGACCCTTAGTCAGACCCCATTTCTGAAGAAGGGTCTTGACCCAAAACGTCAGCTTTCCTGCTCCTCTGATGCTGCTTGGTCTGCTGTGTTCATCCAGCTCGACACCTTGTTATCTCTACCTTTCCTTAATGCAGTTTTGAAGTGGAGAGAAACA